TTCAGGCTCCATACACAGCTCCAATCACCCTAAAAGAAACATTTCCTTCAGGGAACTGATTTAAATGAAGAAGGCCAGCACGGAAGCAGTGGGTTTGGTATATGAGAAGTCACTGGAATGTATGAGATGGTACTTAGAAAACACGGTCTATTTGACATCGGATTTGTGTAGCAGCCTTACCTGCCACTGCCAATTGAAGGAAATGCAATTGATTTCAGCTTCTTTTCATCAGCCAGAGCCAAGCAGTTCTTCACCGTCTTTTCCAGCAGCTCCTCGCATTTGTCTGAGCCCCAGCCCGGGCTGTTACAGTGGATCACAAATTTCGCCGGCAATCCATGGCCAGCGCTGACAACAGCTAGTGAGAAACGGAAGCGAAAGAGAATTGCTCATGATTAAAAGAGTCATTAAGCCAGCAAACTGACAGACATTGCTTTAGCCCCCGCGAAAGTTTCAGATCACAAATCGCGTAGCCTTAAAATATAACAACGTGATTACAGAGACTTTGTGTTTTCCATGTAAAGCTGCACTTTGCTGCAGTAATTTATAAATCATAGCTATAATGGAGTTTATTTGGGAGAGAGCAGGAATTCACGGCTGACATCAAAGGAAACATTTGTATCAGGGACTGTGCAAACTTCTGTGAAGCCCAAGGAAGAACGCAGCAATTCCTTAGAATGCAAACCCACTCAGGGGATGGCCTTGGAGAGCTGTAGGAAATATGGTGGACAGTCACACAGAGTTACGACTTATGTGACCTTCAACCACCCCTGCTGAGCACACAGTTTGTTTAGCGAGCTCCTCAGCGCGCTGCCGCCCAAACTGGGTCAGTCCAGAGCTATCGGTGCTCTGCAAACCGGCAAGGCAGGCTGGGAAAGAGGCGAATTAAGATTTTTGCTTTATTTCCAGCTTTGTTTCCGAGTAGCTGTAAAGAAATGATTTTGTGTGATTTCAGCACTTAGGGCTCGCTCCTGTCTGAGGCTTTTTTGTGCATTGGCCATCCAAGACCACTTAATTCTGGGTTTAGTTTCCCTCTTTCATCATGTTCCTGACAGACGGTTGGACAGGATGCGCTGGAGATTTACAGCGTTTGATTCACAGTGTTTGCACACTAACAGGCAAGGCCTTGTACATACAAAGAAACGGACAAGAATTTGGACCACACTACTCATACGTTATCACCACGATACTACTGGGGGCGTGTGGGGACTAACAGGAGGGAGCCGAGCCTGGCTACGAACTGCCGGCAGCAGGAGAACACGCTCTGGGTTTGCCACTTCCCATCCCAGAGCGACATCAGGCTGTGCTCTGCCCCCCCGAAAAGAAGGTAAGAGGATCGCGAGTCCCTTCTGAACTCCCCTGCCTGTGGCTACAGTTAAACACTTGTAACTTTGGTTAAGAAAAAACCCCACAAAAACAGGATGAAAACCACCCTGATCAAATCAAGGGAAGCAAAGCACCTGGTCAGAATCTCCCAAGAGCACACACTGAATCTTCGCAGAGTCACCGCCCCAATTCACACGCTTTGGGATATAATCCTGTGCGGCCACAAGACTGTAGGTATAAAGCGGCAGCTTATGTCTTCAAACCAGTAATAAAAATGCCAGTAATTTCTTGGTTTTTTAAAAAAAAATTAAAAATTATGTTTGTAAAGGTGCTTAGAGGCCAGAAACCCTCTACTCCGCTCTGGAAGGTTTATGGGGCATTTTGTTATTTAAGTGTAGTAGAAATAACTCTTGGAGCACAATCACCACATATGGATACTATCCTGTAGCTGCTGCAGGAAAGAGAAAATAGGCTCGGCCACATGGCAGTTCTGACCGAGGGTTAATCAGAAGAGTGCATTTTGAAGGACAATGCAAGCACAGGCACTGATGTTCGTATTATGGGTTTGCAGATTCTCAACATGTTGAATAGCCTCAGTGTTAGGCAACGCTAATTTGTCATAATGTGCAACTAAAAACATTGGCAGATTCAGAATACATCATAAATCCAAGAAAAATCTATTAAAAGCAGCTGACAGCTCTCTAGTCAGACATGAAATGTGGATAATATCTTCATCCTGAAGGAATAAAATACTGTATTGACACACATCACCAACTCCAATATTTCTCAGGGAGTGTTTTCTAGGGTAGTCGTTAATTAACTCATTAGAAATCTGTCGAGGACAACTGTTAATTACCAAGAGCAGTTGTCCCTTACTTCAAATGCCAACGCTCAGAAAGGGGAAATCAGTGACGCTTCTGCCGCAGAAACAGAAGAGCGTGCCAGGGAGATGTTTTGCGCTGGTTACCGCGGTGCGCCGGGTAAGGACCCTGGCTCTTGGCAGATTAAAGGGATGCCCGTGTAGTTGACAAATCTGAAAATTATCTGTATGACTGGGAAACTGATGTGAACCAATCGTTCTCCAGAGCCCTCCAACCACCCTCTAACAGTCCGTTTCTCCCGGTGTAGCGCAGAGCTCCCCACAGGGTAAGGCAGCCAAGCAACCCCCACATCCGAGGGATGCACCGACAGCGGGAAAAAAAAAAATGATCTTTTCTCTCCAACTGCCAATCTATTTGTGAGTAGTTTGGTCTGGGCTGATAAGAAATACTGGATATACACACAAAAGAAGTAAAGAGTAATTTTTGCAGAACAAAAACTCCAAGAAAAATCTATTAAGAAAAATTTGAAACTGGGAAAAAAAATAAGGCATTAAGTACCAAAAGTAAACAGTTGTAATTTTTCCTGTCAGAGCTGAAGTCTTACATCTCCCCTTCAGCTTTAGTTAGAATTCATTTACAAAACTGTGCGCACTGTATTTATTTTTACAGCATAAACACAGATGGCAGAATCAGCCTTCTATACGAACAACATGTATCAGCAATTTCACAGATGGCGTAAAATTATATATCGCCATTGCCCAACTCTATTACTCATATAGTAGATTTTTCTCAGATATTACATCAATTTTGATAACTAGGCATCATAAAGTCGTAAGTTTTTTACAGTGATGATTTTGGCACTGATGAAACAAAGTACCCAAGCAGATGCTTAACTTTAGGCACGTGCTTAAGTTTAGTGAAAGGCAGCGGCATTTCAAGAAAGCAGATGTTGAGCAGAGTCAGCCTCAACTCATTAATCGCTTTTCTGAACTGGGCCCTTACTGGGCAACATTTGTATGTGTGTACCTGGGACCTGCCCACTCTACGCGGCCTCTCCCATCGCCGCCCTGTTTCCCAGGTGCTTTGGTGAAGGCTGCTTAAGGTGTGATGGGTGTATTTGAACTTTGGAAAACACAAACACCATGTAAGCCATAAAAACTGTTTGTGAACAGCCCGAACCCAAGCGCTTCCCCAGCAGGAGCCGGCCCTGCTGTGGGGCCGAGTGTGAAGCCGGTGCCCGCGGGGTTTTGTTTGCAGGTTCCCGAAGCGCAGAACCTCACCTCCGGCTATGTCCAACGGTCCGTTCTTTTTGCGAAGCTCAATGACAGCTTCCACAAACTCCTTGCCGCCTTTCTTTTCCAAAGTGCTCCCTGAACAGAGAATTGTGATTTTACTCCTCTGATCCCAGGTTTCCACAGCAGACATGCGACTCATCGTTTATTTTTCATTACATCATTCTAGAGTTTTCTGCCCAAACATTTTTGTTTTGGGGACTGCAAAGTAAGATCTAAACCTTTTGGGACTTCGGAATTAGCTACTCATTAAAAACAACAACAACGACAACAGAAAGTAAAAACCAAAAAGACAACCCAAAAACCTCGCATCGGTATCCCTTGCTAACATTCTCAGACTACGATTTCAACGTCAAAACGTCTGACGTGACATCCCTACCTCCTTCCTCATCACGAGCATCCGCTGGCGTGAAAATGTTCCAGCAGAATGTGTTAGCTCGAGAGCAGCGGTCGGAGCTTCGCGCTTCCTTCCCCTGTGAGTCATTTCCCCTCTCTCTTACAAATCGTTTTAAAGAGCCATTTGCCACAATAAGAATTTGAAACTCACCTGATCTTGGTCCCTGACCCCAACAGGTGGCACCAGGAATGAAACAGTCTCGTGAGTGCAGCGGGCTGCTTTACTTGGTAACTGCCCAGCTTGTTGAGCCACCTTTAACCAAGAGGAAGAGCCTCAGAAATCAGGAGAATCTCTAAGGAACATATTCCTCCAATGCACTTCTCTAACTACAGCTAAGGAGCTGGACAAGGTCATTCTGGGAGGAGAAGAGCTGTGCGGTGTTTCAGGGCAACCAAAAGGTTCTGCTGGTTACAAAGGCAGTCCATCACTAAATGGTTTAGATCTTATTTTGCAGCTCTAGTTTTAAATATCGAGATATATATATATATTTATTTAAAAAAAAACCCACAACAAAAAAACAGCCCAAGAAAGCATTTTCCTAACTACATAAGCATCCCACACAATTTTGCACAGTGTGTATTAATTATAAAGGTAGATAAGTAAAAAGCAGTGATATCATAAAGGCTCTGATTTGAGATATTACTTTGAAAACTGATTTCCAAAAATTCAGAACTAGAATCTCTAGAGAGCTATACATTTATTTGATGAAAACCCTTACTTTCACTGATGAAGAAAGAAAAAACGCAATTTCTGATGGAAGTGCACATACTGTATGCTCAAGGAAGCAGAGTCCCTCCTCCAAGACTCAGTTTATCAAATTGCATTAAAGCTTTAAGAACTAAGAGGATGCAAGATGCTTTTGTTTCGACAGCATTGCTAAATTTCTTCCAAAATGAAGACTCCAAGTTGAAAGGAGCAATGCGTTTGCTTATTCATTCAAAAACTGACCCTGTGACCCTCTCTCTAGTTTGCTATTGGCAGTTTATTGCTTTCGGGGTGAAAAAAAAGCTGAGGACAATCGAAGAGCATACACCTTCTCTTTTGTTTTTTTTGTAAGCAATTCACGCTGGGTGTTTGCCAAGATCTCACCGTAGGTCAGAGCGTAATTTGCTCTTTGCGCTCGTTTAAGCTTTTTTTTTACATAAATACTTCGGGCTAAGTTTATTCAGACAAACTCGCCACTTAGGAATTTTTGAAAACTCAAAGCCACCCATCCCTGCGGAACTGAGCGGGAGGCACCACCTGACCAATCTCTCTGGGTAAGAAAGTAACGGCTTCATTTGGAGCAGCGAGGGGCTGGGGCAGATCAAGCCAGGACAGGAGATCCAGGCTCGGCAACGCGCTGCCCTTCGGCCGGCGACCCAGCGCCCTTCGCCCAAGCGGCCTGGCAGACGTGGCCGATGTCAGGGTTTTATAAAACGCCTCTGACAGAGCAGGGATAGAGAGAGCGAGAGGCAGCGCTCCGTTCCACGACATTCTCGTCGTGTGTATTTCCATATCGTGCCTATTTCTGTTGGTGTATATTCCGGTTATATTTCCCTCGAGTCCATGAACTCAGATCGGTCCTAAACTCTGTGATGTTCATAATCCTTAATTTCTCTTGTTTCAAGGGGAAAAAGAATTAAGCCTTGTGCAGAACCTGGGAACAGAAAGGATCTATAAAGTAGGTCATTTCTTTGCCATCGCAAAGCTCTTGAACGTTTAATGGAATTTAGCCTAGTTGGGTTTAATTCAGCCCAGAAAGATCAGCTTTTCCCCTTCTACTGGGAATTAATTTATAATTAAAAGCAATGAACAACCCTGTCAGTTTGTTTCACTGAGCTCTTCTTGCAGAGCTGGTACAAAGAAGAGCAAAAGTAGGACTGGCTATGAATCCTCGATTACGTTCATCTTCTGATTAATAGCGAGGGCTTATATTGAAAATATATTTCAGAACTATGTTGTAAATTAGCTTCATCTGGGAAAGGACATGTTGTATCCCACCATTTTCCACTACATTAGCAAGTTTCTTGATGGAAGTCTTGCTTCACAGCTTCAAGGTTAGTAGCTTATTTGCTCACAGGCATAAATATGTGTCACTCCCATGAGAATAAGATCATTATCTCATGCTTTCCAAGCAGGCATTGGTATCAGTGTTGAAAACAGCGTTAGCAGAAATTTAGGCTCTAAAAATCTCTGGATAAGCCCCCAGTACATTTAAATTGTTAGGGAAAAAAACAACCAAAAAAAAATTTGAAAATATAAAATAAAATTTAGATGGGTAAAAAGTTAATCATTGGAAGCTAAGCATTTGTGCACTTCTATTCTTTCTTACAGCAGTCAGAGGCAACAGGAACCTCCACGAGCGGTGCAGCTCCGAGACAATTTTCTTTGCAGGGTAGCAAAGCTTGTCTTTGTCAAAGGGTAGGAGACGGGCACACGAGCTGAACGCGTCTGACAGACTTTAGAAGCGTGTTCTTCAGGTGCGGGGTATTACGAGCTGTTTTATTTTAATGTCTCTGCACAGTGTTCAGCCAGCCAGGTCCCAGCTGTTCCTGCCCAACGGGATACGCAGAGCTACCCCTGGCTGTGCCTCACTGGGAGCGCGGCCCCTTCGGAAAAAACGAGCGGCGCAGGACACGCGGGCACTGCCGTGGGACATGTGTCCCTCTGAGCCCGTCCTCAAACAAGGCCTTGGGTGTGGAGGGAACCTACTCACACAGCCCTGATGGGCTCAGAGACAACACGTAGAACAGAGGCTGCGAGCAGCTGATGGCTTGGGGTGGTTTTTTTAAGCATGGTGGGTCATGGCCCTTGCCAGCAACTTCTGCGTTCAGCCCAAATTTCGATTTGCCCTCTCAAATTAGCAAGGTGGGTCAGTTAAAAGCACTGCTACCCTTTTACAAAAATCCTTCAGGAGACTGTACGCAGAGAGGGGTATGGCTAAGCTAAGAGTTACTCGGGGGATGCCTGAGATCCTGAATTAGGACGTCTGTCACATTTTCCATCACACCTTCTCTCACCGGTGCAGCTTAGAAGACCGACCGCCTGAAAAACGTATGTAGGGCCACGAGCCGTGTGCCTGGGGGCGCGAGGACCCTTGAGCAGGGCTATGAGGGCAATCGGTCCACAAGGCACAGTCAGGAAAAGACTAATCTTAAAGAGTGCAGAAACTGCAGGTGGGCTTGATCCAGCAAGTCAGATGTGAACATCTGAAGCGTGGCATGGAGCAGGTGTACTGGAACTGGTTAGAAATCGCAAGATCGAGACTTAAACCACATTCAAGACAGGTATTTAACGTGTCAAACAAACAATGTGGTCATTCATTTGCCTCGGTCATGTCCCTGCGCTGAACGTACTGTTCCTGCACTTTGGATTTTGGCGGTGCATTCTATGGGGACTCGTGAATTCGGCGATAAAAATCAAGGCCGCCTCCCGAGCTTGCAATGATTCATTTGTGTTTGTTAGGAGTCAGGACTGCTGGAAGCGAGAAATGAATGCAAATCCGCATAGCTACACCAAGCTTTGTGGCTGCTGATTGACCATGCACACACATACAAACTCGGCAGCACTGAACTTGCCATTACCTACTTCACCACCGGTGTAGAAGTCAGAGTTTGTCGGGTGAACGACAGCATCACTGTCGATCGTGGCAATGTCAGCCTGTACAACTTGCAACTACAACAGGTAAACAGATGTATATCAACCACGTTGGACAGAGACCCAGCACAGGCTCTACATTTACACATGTACCAACGTCCATAGTTTCCTACCTTTACATCTCCAAACCTTGCGCCAAAGGAGTATGCTGAGGTGTGTGTGCAGGTGTGTGTAGAGAGAGGGGTGTAGAGAACAGGAGGAGGAATGTTGAGCACGACATGATCAAATCAATGTTAGAACGACAAGTCAGAGCAATCACATGAGATCATTTCCAAAGTTTTAAAAATCAGCTAGTACCCCATTTCATTTTGCAGAAACCTAGAACAACCAGTTCCCCAGAGAGCATGACACTAAAATACGGAATCTGTTTCAAAAAAAAGAAATTCAGGATCATCAAGCCAAACAAAATAAACTAGTTTCTCCATTTTGTCAGCATCAATAAGCTGACAGGCACTAATCTTCATATGCAAAGCGACTCATCATTTTGTTTCTAAAAATTACAGTCTCCTTCGGAAGGAGGAAACCACGTATTCACAGACAGGGTTGTGCTGAACTTGATTTAAAAGATACAAATGAGGATTCCTGTATTTTAAAGGTAAGGAACACTTTCTAACCGTGTATTCGAATGGCTAAGACTTACGAAGACACACATATTTCTGAGAAAGGCTGATTTAAAAGTTAGCCTTTTTAAATCTTTGCCTTGTTGAATTACTTGTGCACATTCCCACAGGAAACGCAGTAGTAGAAGAATTATGGGTTGTATTCCATTAAGGAAGTTTTAAAAAAAAGCAGCAGGTGTAATCTAATAAGAAGGGAATGCGGTACATCATGTACAAAAGTTATTTTTTCTTTTGCTGAACAACAGGCTTCTGCTGAAGAAGGATTTTTATTTTGTTTTCAATTTGGAGCAAGACAGAAGCTTTAGAAGCAATACACCACACATGGCAGCATCGACAAGTTTATTGTTGGTATAATATCAGTATTTGTTTTCAGCTGAACGTGAAAGTAAGAGGCAGTAATTGAAGCATAACGGAAACAAATTATTTGATTGAATTAAACATGAAATCAAGGTAGGAAAGATTGAGGGAGAGTTAATTATTTAATCATTCCTCTTTAAACATTTTATGCCTACTCTTGAGTATCAGAAAAAAACTCACAAGGCTGCGGTTAGAATGGAGAAACTGCTTATTTTGAAAACAACCTGACAAAAAAGTACTGTAGTCCTCAAAGTATCCAAATAAGAAACCCCCCAAATAGCTAACAGTCACATATGATCATTATGGAAAAGAATTTAAAAGTTTTGTTTTCACTGCAATCAACTTGAAGCCTAGCAATAGCTGCAAGAATTCAGATTTGGTGGGGAAAAAAAAAAAAAAAGAGTTTTGAATGTAGTTCTTCAACAAAACAGAGCCTGCAAGATTTGAATTTCTGCGCTTACGGACTGCGTGCCGCCCTAGCGAGTAAATTCTGGGTTCCATAATTTCCATGTGACCGTTAGTTGTGTCAACCCATGCCCCATTTACCTAGGTCATCTTTAAGGTCAATGTCAGCATTGGTAGGATTGATAATGGCCTCCACCTCGAAGCCGGCTAAATTACTGATTTCACTGTGAATAAGGTTCAGCTGAAAAGAAAAGCATGAGGTGGGAAATAACAGGACAGCTGGGAAATCACAGAGAAGCTGCAGAAAAGTGAGCTTTGCAACACAGATGGAGATAGCATCACTGCAAACAAATATGCAAAATAAAAGGCAGGTCATAAAGGGGGCGGGGGAGTTATTATCCAAAAAACCCTCAAACACAAGACTCAAACACTGTTTGACTGGCAGGACGTGACTGCACCGACTAAGGAGCTCTGCTTTAGCTTTATGCTGGCCTCTAGTTGAGATTCTTGTTCTGGCATTAGAAAAAGGAATTTGTTCCTCTTCGAAGTATGGATGGACACCCTCAGCATTGCTTAAGCATCAATGGCAGCAGTGTGCCACGACCCTTCAGCGCTCAAAGTGAATAAAAGACACTGCTCCTCCTCCTTTAGGCCAGCAAACACTTGTCTGTCTTTGAGAAAGCACATCTCCAGCAATCCCTCTCTCCTACCAAGGGGACACGTTTCTTTCCTTCAGTGGTACTTTCCTTACTACAGGTACACAGCCCGCACCGCAGGCACTTCAGCTTTCATTTGAAAAGTTCTGCCTTCGCAGCAGACGTTCTGGAAGCCGGCGCTATCATGTGCTTGTTGCTTCTCGGGTTGACTTTATTTGCTTTACTTCCTTTTGTCATTTAGGAAAATTGTTTTTACACGCACCCATTAATGCCCACAGCTCCTCTCATTAACACCTACGTATTTCACGCATGGCTCTCAACTTCTCTCTTAACTGTCACCAGATCAGAAGGATTTCTCATGGGCACACAGTAAACTGGGCAAGTTCGCAGAGATATCTAGAGATTAACCTTATGGGTTCGTAAAAAGAACGAAAAGGCTTAATGAGATCTAAGGAGGTGCAGGTTTCAACTTCTAGCAACACATCTTGAGCAGGACTTAGAAACTAGTATGTAATATAAAAAGTCAATGGCAAAATCTGATCAGTGATGGTAGGGAACTGATCCTGCCATGCCGTACTGCTCCACAGCCAAGGCCGGGAAGTCTGATTTCATGTGCGCCGAGCTTCCGATTGCCAAAATTTAAGATACGCTGGAGTTTGAAAAAGTTTCCCAGACTCCTTCATACGGGGAAATGCATCTTGTGCATCAAAAATTAGGCTTATATCTAGCACATGCATTTAAAATGGTTGCTTCAGCAGCTGATTAGGCAATATGGAAAGCAACTATGAAAGTTCTCGTTCATTTACGTGAGCCCTGAGGGCAGCTGCAGCTCCTGGCTTTCCTTCCCATTCAAAGCCCGCTGGGTTCAACTTACAAAGCAGAACACGTACACGTTCAGGCACGGCAATTCATCTCATCAATAAATGAAATTTGTCTCTTGGTTTGCAATCCACGTTCCGTAAACTCAACTCTTCGAATCTCCTCCTTGTGTCTGTTAGATTAAGAGGGACTACGAGCCAATTCATGAAATTGATACAAATGAACGGGTCATTTAGGGAGGCCAATATCCATATATTTAAGTTTCATGAAAAAATTATTTCCGTTTCATTCATGGGATTATATGAATCGACCTTCTTTCTCGTTCGAAAAGCCTGCAATCTCATGCCATTTGCATATGTTCCTTAAGTAAACTGTGTTCCCTCAGAATAAGATGATTTTGGCTAAAAATGAGTGTAAATCAGCCTTGCCTTAAGTTCGTGCCTGTTCGGGAATTTGTAATAAAATCTAAGAAAGCTTGCTTTCCAAATAGCTTAGAATCCTTTAATACTTCACACGTGGTGAGTTATTCATACTTGAGTTTGAGTCTTGAGTTTGGAAAAAAAAAACAAGGTCAAACCAAACCAAAATGTTAAAGAAACTTCATGAATTTTGAAATAAAAAAACCAACAAAACACATGCACACACCAAAAGACTGTTTTGTGGAGTTTTTAGCATGTTCCTAAGCATATTTTGTTCCCTTTACGGGTGATTGTCTCTGCTCCCTGTGTTCTATAAGTTTTTGCCCCAGATCTATGGGCCGCAGATCATTTTGGTTTCAGACCTTTATTCCATCTCTGCATCTACTCATATATGGAATTTACATAGCAACCAGCTGGTAATTAAAGTTTTAATTTAATGACTAAACGCTTAAAAAGCTGCCCGTCGCCGACAGCATGTGTTGGCAGCTCAGTATTCTTTTGGCTAAATTTTGCATTTACTGTTCAATGCACTGTTAGCTATTGGACTACAAAAAGCAATTAAAAAATCAGAAGTTTTCCCATAGAATTAAATCCTTCACTGAGTAACTGCTCTATTTTACCACCCAGTTTCAAGCATGTATTAGACAGAAGATGTGATCCCCTACAGGGCCGCTTAAAAAAACCCAAACAGGCACGACTTGCGTATCCATGAGCAAAAAAGAACCGGCATAACTTCAGGTAACGTTTAAATTAAACGTTGGTTAGATAAAATGCAGAAGGCACTTAGCACATCCCTGAGTATTTTCTGAGGCAAGCCTTGCACTTCTTAGGTCTGACAAAATTACCTTTAAAGTCTTGGAACTTTTTCTGGTATGAGTTTCATAGAGAACACAGACCATGCCTGTTGCAGACAAGCTGAGGTGTCTCCGAAAATCCAGACCCTAATGCTTAGGGTTGGGGTTTTACGCCTCTGCCCCCACTCTGCAATTGTCTCAGGAAACCCCAAACTAGTTAAGGTGTAAAATCCCCTGTTTCCATTGGGATGTCCCTGGTAGGATGTGCAATCATTTCCATATTAACTAGAATTTAATACTTGATTAGCGTAGCACTAATACACTTCCATAGCTGAAACTGAAGGGTTCTTTGCCACTTGCTGACCTCTACGAATTTCTAGCTGGATGTCAGCAGTTAACTAAAGATTTAATGCAATAACAGTGCTGCCTAAAACCTGAGCAACACCCAGCTTTGCAACATTCTCAGGAATTAAATCTGGGGACACTGGAAGGATGACGAGTCATTCTTGCATATAAAATCCTTCCCCTTCCCTCCTGCAAACGTGGAGCCAAGAAAAAGATTTTTCCCGTTAAAAACTCGTGAATGACATGATAGCAAGAAGGGGATTATTTTCTTCCTTCTCTGCGTTTCGTAAATGATCTCCTGATGCAGCCGATAGTGGTTTTGCAGACCAAAGAGACATGTACAGCATCCAGGGATGTCACAGGAGGTTTGAAAGACTGTTTGTTTGGATTTTTCGGTTTCCGGTTTCTGTGTTTGCACTGGAGTTTATTAAGAACACACAGAACGAGAAAGTATACTGAAAATCTCTATGTGCAAATTCAAGAAGAATCAAAAAACTCTGATTAATGTGAAGATTTTTGCTTTCCAAACAGAAAAGCTCAAAACATTTTAACACATTAAGCTTTCTTACCACCCTGCTGAAGAGCTCTATCTCCGTCCTGCAAACAGAGGCCACAAAGAAGAGGCGATTTAGAGCCCAAACCAGAAGCCAGCAGTTCTGGTTTCCAGGCCTCCAGCTGAACCACCTAGACACACTGTCCTCCCTAGCCAAGAGAAGAACGGATTTTTCCTCTCCTCCAAACACTGTTTCAGGAGAGTCAGGCCATGCTGACTTAGAAGGAAGGTTCTCCTCCAAGCAGGTAAATGCCTTCTGCCCTCACGTGCTTTGGCAAAAAGCAACGTGCACAAGTCTAAGGAACTGAGCAGAGTTTTTTCTGTTAAGCTTCAGCCCTAAACTTGGATAAGTATTTTAAAAATCCATCTTTTTAAACAGCAATTGCGTGTAGAACTGGCTAAGCAGAAGTATTCAACCGATTCAAAATCACTGGAGCTTTTATAGGCAACTGTTGTGTTTACTCTTGCAAATTTCCAAAATAAGGATAAATTATTGGAGACTTCCATGTGTCACTTAAATCACTAACAAGCACTGCAGTCTGCTAAACCTGCACGTAGCAGCAGACGTCCTGTCACACCCAGAAGCCCCTTGGCCCGTGCAAAACAGACCTCGAGTTTAGGAGAGAAGACGCATTCAACTCTCACCAATTCACTCGAAACGTTATAAGAAAATAACAACTGTTTTGGTAATTCTGGAAACGCAAAATAGTTTCCAGAAAATAGTGCCCGTGCAAAACAGACCTCGAGTTTAGGAGAGAAGACGCATTCAACTCTCACCAATTCACTCGAAACGTTATAAGAAAATAACAACTGTTTTGGTAATTCTGGAAACGCATGTTTTGAAAATAGTTTCCAGGGAACGGTCTGAAAATATTTCTAGGAATAAGCCAGCGTGTCTTTTTTGTTGGTTTTATGCTAAGTGAAATCTCTTTGATCACTACAGTGCAAAGGTTCTTTGCATTTTAAGTTTTCCACATCTTCAGTCTTAAAATAATTTAGGTTGGTCTAAATGTGCTATTTTGGGGGTAAAATCAGAACAAAGACATTAATACGTTATTTATCAGCTCAAGGCAGGAATTTAATTTTTAATGCACACATAACAGGATACATAGCCTGCTTTTCTCAGATTTTTACCCTAACGATTTACTGCCTCTGCAGGTAGTTTCTCACAGGGAATCAAAACCAAAATAGAACGTGTGCTAGACAAATCTCAACAGCACCTACGCATTCTCTACCCCTCAGAAAATAATCCATTTAGGGTGTACCCTCACAGGAGCTGAACAGCTTCTCATTTTTCCTTTAATTTTGTGCATTGTGTTAAAACCAAGGCCAACACCCGCCTCCTCTCAGGTGCAGAGCCATCTGACAACACACCAGCACGGGGATGGACATGTCACACCCGTATTTTTTTTCAGGGGGGCTGCACTCCAAGTGAAGGAGAAAGCCAGAAAGCCTGTTTCCCAGTACGAGGTACTCACTGGAAAGCTCTACAGCAGCAGACACTGACTTTGCTCAGCACAGCTTAAAGCAGTCCTGGAGCTCGTGATTCTTTTCCACCGAGCCCAGGAGCAAAGCCCCATTGATTGCTGGGCTGGAACGCAACACTTGGTCTTATTACAGGTTTCCTATGGTAGTTAAAAGGAGTTCAAAATCACGTCCAAAAGTCTGACATTACTTGCTTGCCTGAAACAGTAACTTAGTTTATAAAATTTGGGCTCTGATTTAGTCATCCAAATGTTTCAAAAAATATGTTTCAAAGCCACCCCCTTAGTAGTAATCAAATAACTGAAAAACCTACCAGCTCTAGCTGTAAAATTAAATGTGGAAAATCAGAAGTCTTGTAAAAAAGAACATGACTTTCATGCGTGTTAAACTTAGCAAACAAACTGTGGAAGAATAAATGAAGAACACCCTCAGTATGAAATAAAAATGGGTCAGAGGACATACATTCCACAATGGACAATGGCTCATCTTTCATGACTTAGAACACAATGGTCTGATTGCTGAATGACAGAAGAAAGATGCAGTTTTTACTTAATAAAATTTTGTATCGCAAACTAAAGGCAGGTTTCGGGAAAAAGACCAAATTAACTTAATGAATTGTCTCTTTAATGGATCCTCTCTTTAAGCAGGTGTGTATTTGCATTAAACCAACCCTATGTCCCAAAGCATATTCACAGGGAAAAAAGGTTTGTTGACTTCTAGCTTTTCATAAAGGCATCATTCATTAATACACAGCATTAACTTTTGTAAATAACAAAGCAGAACAAAGCATAAAACCACTGTTATGAACAAATGACTAAAATAGGTTTTGATAAAAACCTGTAAATCATTTACATCAGCAATGAAGTGGGCTGCCCATTGGAAAAAAAAGATATTTTATTCTTAGAATAAACTCGTCTTTGGCAGAAGCTTAGCTGGAACAATTCTGCTGTGAATAAGGCGAGAGAGATTACAAGCACACAGGCTTTCCTTCTATTTGAGTATTTAATTATGTAGCCATATGAAGACTCATTTACATATTTTTAAAATGCTCTAGAAGTTATTTCGGAGAATGTCCTTGTTCAAAAACTACTATCATACACCTCCTCAAGTGCTCAGTTGGGAAATGTCCATTGTACCCAGATGTTTTGGGGAAAGGGGGGTGGTGGGAGGGGGTTTTCCCTAAGCAGCACTGAAAAATTGGTATTCATGTATAAAAATGCAGGAGCATACCTTCTGGCCAAGAAACAGACTTTTGGTGGACAGGACTGTGAAACCGTCTGCAGGAGTTCCCTCTGTTGTACTGTCAGCGCTGGCAGATTTGCTCACTTCTCCCTGCTTCTTCTTCCAAAAAATACAGTTAATTAGTTAACTCAAGGCTGAGAGAAAAACCAGTTCCGTAACACTGCGATATATGACGTGCCATAAATACTTACCGGGCAATAAAATGCCAGGACAAACACCGGAGTTTGGATTTTATCCTTTGCTCTAACTAAAGCAACTGATAACAGCTGAAGGAATCAACAGGAAAAGCGACCTCCACGCCTGCACATCTCCACAAGCCTTTGCTCCCGGAGAGCAGCACACAGCGCAGGGGACAGTTGTCTTCAATTTTGCAAGAAAACATTTAAACGGCCCCAAACTTTCAAATAGGTTTCAAATGGCTTAGGTGGAAAAAGATAATGAATCTCTTTCTACATGTGGGCAGACGTTTGTTCTAAGATGAAAACTGACCTGTCGGGGTGCAAACCTTCTCTGTAAAGGGAGGCGCTCCCAGAGTTCACAAACCTTTTAGAAATACAGTTTTGAAATCTGGCTGCCCTAAGAGCCAGCGTCAGAAAATAATACATCTACCTTCCACCTATGTAGTATTAACAAATGGGCTGAACAATTTTCTCTGTCTTTTTAAATATCATCCCCTTCCTTTATCTTCAGTAAGACTGTAGGGGGAGAAGAAGCTCCCCTGCACCACCATTTCTTTTTTCAACTGTATTACTGAAGTAAAATAATAGTTCCAGGGATTAATTGTTTTCCTGAATCAAAATGAGAATTAGGAACATTTTTGAAAAGGATGTTTCATGAAGATAGTGAAGTGACTGCTGTGGTTATAAACACAATTGGTGTCAAAAATCATTTCATATATTGACTACAACTACTACTTACAATTTCATATAAATATTTGGTGCCTAAGCAGTATCTGTGCTGAAGCTAAAAAGCACACCTGGAATTTTAATCAAGCCACTGTTCTGCTATTGTCCCTTTCCAAAATATATAACCTAAATTTGTGGCTGAGCAACTAGAATGACTTTGATGCAAGGGTAAGGTATACTGGTGCTTCTAGAAGCTACACCCATGCTTTACCTTCTATAAATGTTCTGAAAATTAGATTTTCACAGCCCCTATTTCAATTCCCCAGGAGTTTACGGCTAGCCACACACCAATATAGTAAGCAGACAATACAGTTTATTGTGTGGAAGCAAAACAGAACCCCACAACAGACTTCCTGCTTTTGTAATCAAGTAGGGGAAAAAAATGCCAGATTTAGGGAAATTATTAGTGCATGGTTATGAGAAGCACTGCGCTGGAAATGCCAGCTACTAGGTATTCTAAGAGAGAAAATTCAATTCAGCAGTTTGAAATAACAAAAAAGTGAAAGAAGAATGACCAAGTGAACAGTTACAGAGACATACAGGAAGAATACAGAAGCTTTGTTTAGCCAGGAAGGAACCTTTCACAGGAACCGTCTGTTTCATGTGAAATTTGTGGCCTCCACGTGCTCTCTCCTCCTGCCTCTCGCTGCCTCCAGCCTGTGCCCACCTCACGACCGTTTCACACAAAGAACAGAGTAGTCACAGCTCGCCCGCCTCTCCGGGAGACCTCTGCTCCCTACAGCAGCTACTAGGAAGCTCGTTTGGGTTTATTTCAAACAGATCACTCTACCTTGGATTTCCTTGCCCCTTTCTTGCCGCCTGTTTTCTTTGATACAGTTTTTTTCTGTGACGGAGACTTTGCTTTCTTCGCTGGAGGTGGAGTGATGATGGCTTCCAGTTTTCCTTTTGATCCCCGCTTCTTTGCCAACAGCTCCGGGTGAATATTGGGTAACACTCCACCACTGGCTATGGTGACCCCTTTCAATAGCTAATAAAAATAAAAAAGTTGTCGATAACAAACTCTAGCATTTACTCACTGATAAATAGAAAATGGCATTTACTGAAGACTTTGGACACTGAGTTTTAACTGGTTCGTGTATGCTGATTTTCAACACGTTACGCTTGAAGAGAGATATGAAATGAAGCTGAGCACATGTTAGATTTTAACCAAACAGGAAATAGGTGTTGTTCTTGCACATGTGCTTCTCACTGTCAGTATCTCTTGGGCTCACAGGAGATCCGTTCCTGTGAAGCCATGCAACAAAGTGAGGTACCCAGCTCTCGGAAAACAGGGCAGCCCCAGCCAGGAGGGCTTTGCGGGGCAGCCAGCGGGAGGGATGGGACCCCAAAGTTCACGGTACATGCTGTGGAGAACCTAAATTACGTCCCAATTTCTTGAAAGTGCATTCGTAAAACATTGGTTTTTTCTTTTCTTAGAAAATGAAACTTCAAACGGAGGGTAACTTTTAGACAAATCTCTACACCTGGAAGTCTTCCTTCAAAAAAGTCTTTATGTAGTTGAAGAAAAGCAGATCAATATTCAAAAGTGGGCAGTTCATTCAAGCCTTTAAAAGCAGAAGTGAAACATACCATGGTCTGTACTTAAAACTACTTTAACCCATTTTTCATACATATAACTGGGACTAATTCACTGTTTGGGAGGATACAAATGGTGACATCAAAGTCCCTCAGGTAGTCCCATCCTCTGATTTGTGTTTCCTGCTCCCCAGCCACAACTCAGTGAGGTTCAAGCTTACAAAGGAATGACAAATGGAAAGGAACTATCAAATTTCAGACAAATGCAGAAGGAGGTTGGTTTGGGGATTTTTTTTCCTGCTCCATTGTGATACATAAGTTTGGAAAAAATATCTTTTCAGATGTGTTTTTATAGCACCTCACACAAAGGTATGTCAACCCCAGCCTGTGGTGCTGACACCACAGCACTACAATAATGCCCAAATTTTTTTTTACCTAAGGGAAAGGCATTTTGAAATTTGCAAAGGACACAGACTTGCAGTGATTCAGAGCTCTTAATTCTATGATCACAATGACAGATTTAATGGGACCAGGATAGGTCCTGCTGAGTTTAAGCTGTGTAAGGGGGAAAACAAAACCAAACAGAATCTACAAATTTTCTCCACGTCTGTAGACATGGAGAAATGCTTATAGCAGCGCAAGAAAATACACCTCCATTGCATTTTTACACATTGTAGTAGTCTTAAAATACAGAATTAAGGTGAGTGCTGGAGCTGGTTACCGAGGCAGTGTGCTAGAGAGTGAATGAGCTGTTTCCTGGTGGGCTACTCAACAAGCAGAGGTCTTGAGTTACAGTACAGCTATATGGAAAGACAATTTAAAAAGCCCTAAAGGAAATCCTGGCCCTCACACGACAGAGTTTTTTCTTACCTGATTTAATTCTTCATCATTTGCTACAGCCAACAGGATGTGTCTAGGAGTGACTCGACCCTTCTTGTTGTCCCTTGCTGCATTTCCAGCCAATTCAAGAATTTCCGCTGGGGAAAGAAGTAAGCCCCTTGGAATTACACTGGGAGCATTAAGAAAACTCATGTGTTACTCAGCATCTGTGCAAAAAGCTATCTGAATTACACCGTGTTACTCCTAACTGCTGTAGAATACCCTCAAGAGGCATCTAACTCTAAAATTATCATCTTCTTTTTATATGTCTAGTCACTAAAGGGCTTGAAGTCCTGTGGTCTAAAGTGCATTTATTTATTTTTTTATCCTTTCAAAGCAGTTCCTTATATTTTTGAATTTTCAGGGTTCTTCTCAAGGCTACTAATGTGTTCATCTCCTCGGATTCCTCTCCTATCAGCTGACGGAGCACTGGAAGTACAAATGCCGTATTCTTTTTTATGGTCAAACCTGTCATAAATGTGAGTTCTGGCTTGCATTGCTTCTACTTTTTTATTACTGGAAAAGATGCTTTTTTTTTCATTTTTAAGCACACATCCAAGTTAGGACACTTAGAATATAAACTACACTGCTAGGCTGATTTAATGCTTTGTTTGTTTTTTCCCTGTTTGAGAAGCTTCTGTCCGAAAAAAGTAATTGATGAATCATGTTTGTTTGGTCCTAGTAAATTATCTCCTTAGAAGAAATTTCCAGTCCTGACAAAATATGTGTAACATCCGTGCATATGACGGCTTTTACTGGAATTAGGAAGAATTAACTTGCTCCCCTGCAAAGATCTATGAAGTGAAAGGCTAGAGTGCTGCCTGCTAACTTCTCTGCCTCAGGCAAAAAAATGAAATTAATTACAAGCAAATCTGGGGAACAATTAAAAAAATTACATATTAGTTTACCTGACTCTGCAATTTATCTGACTTTGCAATTATATGCTACGGCTGTCTCTGTTATAGATAATTTTCACCTTCCCTGTTTCACTATTGCTTTTGGTATATGCAAACCTGGTAACATCTGGAGAAAAAAAAAAGGAGAAAAAAATTAAATACCTTTTTTTACATCTATTACCAATATATTAAAATCTAACATTAGAAGAAGGTATGAGATTGATTTCACATTTAACAGCTGATTATACCATGAAAGCTCTCCCATAAGTTTGCATTAGAGGCAAATAGAACTGAATTAAGACATTAATCTGGAAATGAAAAAGCCTAAAATCGAAGCTCACGTGACCACATGCCTTTACCATAACACATAGTAAATCTTAAGCAATACTGCACAGCACAGACTACAGCTTTTCATTAGGCTGAATTTAACATGATTCTCCTATTTTTCATCACAAGTCCCACAATAAACTGGTTATGACACATACTGGAAAACTTACAGCTGCTTCTGGATGTCCTATGGTTAAGCTTCCTGCAGGAGTTTGGTAGCCTTTCACTATTTTTGTGTTCTTCAAAGTGCACAATTAACTTTACGACAGGGTGAGATAGAATATTAAGCCTAAGCCCCCAAAGTAACTCAACATTTCATGCTGACAACAATTGCTTTAATTTATTTTTAAAGCAGGATTAGCAGGGTGAGGTCAACCTGCCTATGCTTTCCACACCTCCAAAGAACTGAATTAAGCTGGCATAATCCTTTTCAGGGACTTTTCCAAAGCCACAGCTCACCGAGGTGAGGTTTAGGCACCGCACGCAGCCGCCTGAAGACCAGTCTCACCTTCCAGGGGACGAGCCGTGCTCCCCCGCGCATCCCCACCCACCCCAGCAAGATTCTGTGGCCCCGGAACGCCGCCAGCATCTCCTCTCCAGAGCAGGAATTGTTTTGTTTGAGTCTCAGACTTTATTACCGGCTGAAAAGCCTGGGAAGGACTTGCTGCAAACAGCTGCCTGCCTTTTGGTTTGCCTCTGCTGCCCCCACCTCCGCTCCTTGCCCACATCGGGCAGTGCTGAACAGTCGGGCCGTGTTATTCTCTGCGACCCATCAGCCCAACTATGCAGACAGGTCGTTTGGTAACTAAAGAGTCTAAGAAAGCGTTATGCCTGTAAAGCACAGAGGAATGTTTTATTTGTTCCTCATAAAACTGAAATGTCTGCCTCATACAGTGGAGAACTGTTCTTGGAAGTGCTAAGCCCTCTTCCTTGGACAGGAAACTCATTTTGAAATTACAGTTTTCTAATGGTCCTTTAGGGAAGTTGAGGTACCCCACTTCCTCTGCAGGAACAGAACGCTTTGCACTGGCCTCGAGGACCACAACAGAGGAGCTTGGGGAGAAGGAGAGAGGAGGAGGAGGGCAAGGAGGGTGGAATTTTTCCTCTGGCCTTCTCCTCAGCTCTCCAATAATAATCAAGCGTCGCTTGTGCATGCAGAGACCCACAGCAGAGGGAGAGCAAAGCCCGGCTACACACACGAGTCTGGTCGAAGGGGGACTCTCTCCTACTGAAAAACATCAGATGGGGAGGTTGAAGCCAATACAGGCAGTAATTTTGTTTTGATTTAGCACCGACAGAGACAAACCTAATCCAAATCCAACGGATCAGAGCACTTACAAATGCTGGAAACAAAGGCCTCCGGAATCGGAAGGGATCTGGAAGATTTGCCTGAATTTTGCTTGTGGCCAGCTTTACTTTCACATCTGTTTTATGCTACTTTAAAGATTTAAATGGTTTTTCATCCATGTTTCAAGCAAATTTTAATTCAACATTCTAGAATAATCGCTCTAGATTTAGGTGTAGACCTGGAAAGAGTAGTCCTGGGAAAAGGTATTTAAAATCAAGATCAGATCCGAGTTCTTAGGTTGAATCCATCTTGGCAAGTGCCATTCTACCGGGTTCCAAGATTCGAGTCACTGAAAAGTTTCATTAAAGGTAATCGACAGTGGGAAAAAAATAGACATTCAAAAGTCAACTTCTGGAACTGAGCAGGGTGGAGAGAGAAAGCTTTGCTTGTAAGCGTGGAGGCAAAAGAAGTGTCAAGAGCTCCCATGACATCAGGATTCACTCAGCTTGTATTTATCCAGCCAGAAGACCAAAACACAAATATTTTATAAAAACGAGGCCTCACAAAAGGGGTGTAAGTTGCGTAATGTCTATTCCATTCCTTTCATATATTTACTCAAGGCATTTTCCCCCCTAGAGAATAATTACACCATCGCCACTCAGGCAAAAAAGCAACTACGAGACACATTTTACAGAAGTGCTGAACACCAAAGTATTTTTTTTTCTTTTTAAATGAGGAATATGTTCAACGTATTCAATATTATAAGCTTTTGAAGGTATAATTCTTCAATCACCACTGCTGAAATCTCAGGCTAATATGAAGAGATACTCTTTACATTCACAAATGGCTTTTTCTGTGCTTTAAAATAATTTCAAACAAAAGAAGAAAACAACATGTACTGCTTTAACTGAAGATATAAAACAATTCAGTGAGAAGAGCTGTGAGAAGTATATAATTACAAAAGACAAAAAATAAGTAGGAATGCCATGCCAGCACGTGACATATTCATGCATGGACAGCTGTTACGTAGCGAGACAAGGGATGGCTGCCTTAGGAATCTGACTACAGCATCGATATTCTTCTTCTTTTAAGTCATCTTTAGAGTGAGCAAGTTCTAAAAGTTACAAAATTTTCTCTTAAAAAATTAACCTAAATGCAGTTCTCATAACAAATGACAAAATCCTCATCAACGTTCGGAAGGAAACGCCCCTAGGATTAATTTGGATGGATATGGGTAGTGAAAACTGGTCTAAGCTTGTTCTCAACACTTGATCCAAACCTCTTTTTTTTCTGCTGAGGCTTTTAAAAGTTCAGCTAAATGTTTTTAAAGGAGAAACTAGGTTGTACATCTGTGTACGTATCTGTGAGATAAGACCACAGGAAAAGCTGTTCTCGAGGCATTTCCTACTCAAACACAACCAAGAAGTGTCACAATTCTCCACAGAAACCTCCTCCTGAGGCAAGTTTTCAGGGCGAGTTCCTCATCCCTTACTCGCAGAGACTGAGCTCTGGTCACCTCTTGGACATCCTACTCCGTCCCCAATTTCATTATTTGCTTTTCCCTGTTTCACAGTGGCATTGCTCTGCCTTGAACACTAGTGCTTTGGTATTTCACAACACTCAAATTTTGGAACAAGAACTCAACGAAACAAGGTTAAAATGAAAGAAATTGCTGTCAGATCTAATCAAAGCAGGCACAGGAGTAACTGCAGCCCTGCATGGAAACAAAAGCAAATGCATTCTTCTCCCACTCCTGCAGAAGGCTCTCGTTCATTTATCCTAATTTTCAGTATTACTGGTCATTACTAAATAAAATTCCTTTAAAGCCTAAATGACAAGGCCTTTAACTTTTTATGCATTCCAGGCCATAATACTTTCTAAATGTAAAAATTCAATCTGGCCTCAGTTCATCCCCAAAATGCTTTGGGTTTTCGGTGGTGGGTTGTTTTTTTTTTGGTTTACATCTCAAGCTAAAACACTGCTCTTGCATTGAATCCCTCTGTCCACCTTCTCTTCAGGGAGATGAAATCATAGCTTTGAAAATGAAACTCTTAACAACTAACAGGTGACGTGTTGACATGAGGCCAATTTCTGAACGCGCACGTTCCAACAAGGACAAGTCAGAGGTTTCTAAAAATTTTTGAAGCCTCTCCTCAAAAGAAAATTGAGAACAATATCCAGAAATCAAAGAAAAAATGAATGTTGATACAATTCCACTGAGAAAATACATATTTGCAACAAAGCCAAGTACATGACAAGGAGTCTGTTTATTGTAGTTTAAATTAATCATCCTTCCATCAGCATTTTATTGATTTCAGAATCATTTTACGTGATTCCAGAAGGTTTTAACCCAATCAACCCCAATCAAGCCAGACTGTTAAGAGTTTCCTGCATTTTTCTGTGTATTCCACCCAATCCCCCCGGAATCCGCAGTTGGGAGAGTGAAGGTAGAATCATTCAACACTTTCCCCTCTCGTGCATTCCAATAAAACCGTTCTCGGCCCTTGTTCGAAGTCATGGAAATTTGATGCAGTGAAAAATCAATTCAAGAAATTTTACTGCTTTGAGCGAGCCTTGATGAAACCTC